CTTTTTAAAAACTCAAAGGAGCTCTGGTGGCCTAGTGGCAAGAAGCTGCACTGCAATCCCGAAGGCCTGCGGTTTGAATCCACCAGATGCTCTGCTGGAGTAGGAAGGGTGATCTCCTCCTGTGCCAGTCAGATCTGATCCAATGGTAAACAAACAAACAGAGAGAGAAGGAAAAACAAAACCTCAAGTAATTTTCCTGCAGCTTGAAAGTAAAGAAAACCCTGTTTTCTCACCATTTCACACTTTGTCATACCGGCATGATCAAAAAGATTTGAAGAAAAGAGAGATATATTCCAATTTAACAGCAAGACATGGCACAAAACGATGGAAGAAGAAAAGCACAAGATACTTAAAGACATGACAGATTGATCTCCATTAGATTGTATTTAAGGGTTATTATATAGCACTAAAGTGATCTAGTGGCAAGAATTCGTGCTGCAATCCCTAAGGCATGTGATTCGAATCTGCCTGCTGCTCCAAAGGTGAAGGATAGGCAATCCCCTCCCATGCAATTAACTGCCTCTGCCTCTGCAAACCCTCTGAAGGGTCAGCTATGAGTTGGTTCCTACATGATGGTAAACAACAAACAACATAGGACCAAAGGAGAAGGCTGGAAAAGTAAGTTGAGTATATTCTTTTCTCTGGATTTCCAGTAGATGAAATTTCACCTTGCCATTACTCAGACTGAGCTTTAGATTCTGCTTAATTAATATTCTAGGGTAACTCCTCAATGAAGTGGCAATCTTGGAAAAGAATTTGAGGATCAACTAATAAAGATGAAATCAGAAACTACAGATAACAGAAATGTTATTGGTTGACATGGAATCAATTCTTATTATGCAAAAAAACCCTCAAACTCATTTCTGTCAGGCAGGTTCGAACTCCCAGCATTCCTTTCATCAGGTTTCTGAAGCTGGAACAGGAGAACACTGGCCCATCTCTCTCCTGCAGAGCAGCTGGTGGATTCCAAACATTAGGAGAACTGGGGCCTTTGAAGGATGGGCAATCTCCTCTCATGCAGTGAACTGCCTCTGAAAAATCTACTTAAGAGTCAACTATGAATTCTGACTCCACAGTACGTACAAAACAAGAACAAGCTATATGTAACTCTGGTGGTGAAGTTCATTCTACAGTGAGCTGCTAATAAAAAGGCCATCAGTTTGAATTAACTAGTCATTCTTTAAAAGATTTATTAGACTTAGAAACATGATAGAGGGTCAACATAGATTGGAACCAACTCACTAACAGTTAACTTGGTTTTGTTTTGGTTAAAATATGTGTTGTTAATCCTAACCTAAAGGAGATGTGAAAATGCAGCCTGCTAATCAAAAAGTAAGTTCAAACCCACCAGCTATTCCTCAGGAGAAAGTCTCTGAGTCTGAAGGAACTGGCCTTAAGAGTTAGTGAATCTACTGGCAAGTTCTGGTGGCCTAGTGGCAGGAAACTGCACTGCAATCCCAGAGGTGTGAGGTTCAAGTCCACCAGATGCTCTGCTGAAGAAGGAGAGATCCTTTGCCAGTCAGATCCAATTTGACGATACACGCAAAAAAAGAGTAGTGAATCTTTTTTTTTTCAATGCGTATGGTTATAATGCCATTTAGGGAATGAGTTTTCTATTTTGTTAATGAGGCCAGCATTGGTGCTGCGTGTGCTTTGGGTTACTTTCTTACAAAATCAGGCAACCCAAGATTGAGGAAAACGTGCCGAGCCACAAGAAGATAAGGAAGGAATCGTTCCCCCCCAGGAACTTGCACTCTAAATTTGGACTTCTAACCTCCTCGTGAGAAAATTAATTTCTTTTTATGAAAGTCACCCAGTTGTGGTATTTCTGTCATAAAAGCACTAGATAAACTAACAAGAAGTCTGGATTTATAATAACCAGTCATTCCAAGATTGTGGGTTTTCTCAAAATACAGAGCATTTAATACTAAGACTGACAAAGCTGCTGGCAGAGCAGTCTCATTCTAACCAAACACTTCTTTGCCATGGGGGTTCATTTGTATCATAGGATATTTAGTAGACTCTTAACCTCAGCTCACTAAATAAGTTATTTACATTTGATTGGTTGTGATAATAAAAAAATGTCCCAGATATTATCAAACATCCACCAAGGGATAACATCTCCCCAGTGGAAAAGCAGATTACAGATTAGATTTTTGTTTGAAAAATCTAATTGTGAAAGAAAAGAAAGACTACAAACCAGAAAAGAGTAGGCTCATGCAAATGAATGTGTGTGCTGTGATTTTCTTCAATAGCATTTTCTTTACCTCTGATGCCAGAAAGAAGAGACAATAGAAATGATTGTGGGAGAAAGAACAACAGTAAGGCCACAAGATCCCAAAGTGGGATGGAAAAATGAGTCAAAGGCAAGAAAGATAATACTTGGAGATTTGAGGGGAAAACCAAGAGGGCCTAAAGAGTAGGTACATAGGTACATATTGAGACATATGCATATGAATGTACGACATCATCTGGTCTCTGTAGAGTTAGAGAGGGTGAGAAACGAAGGAGATAAAAATGGGAATAAGGCACAAAAGGTACAAAGGGGTTTTGAGGGCTATTCTTGAAAAGAGTGGATCAGAAAACAAAAAATTATTAAGAAGATTATGGTGGAGCCCTGAGTTTCAAAGTGATTGAAGGCAATTTCTGCTAGATGCAGATCAAATTTAAATTGGAGGAGGATGGGGAGAATAAATAAAAGCCAGGCAGCCCAGTAGTGCTTCTCAAACTTTAATGTGCATATGAGACTCATCAGTGGTTCTTGTGTATAATGTGTAGATGCTGACTGAGAAGGTCTGAAGCAGGATCCCTAATTTTAAATTTCCAGCAACTTTCCAGATATTTTTTTCTGTCGATCTGTATAGTTACTAAATGGTCCTGCTTTATTAAATTGCCATCTTTCTAAAAATATTTTTCCATTCACTCATTGTTGCCCAAATGATGTTCTTACTGCAGATCTGAGTACCACTCTGTGAGTGGGACAGGTGAAAACAGTTAATGATAACGCTATTCCCATACATTTTGTGTTCTATAAACTCAGTCCCCACTGAACACAATGTGGATCAAGGAAATTGTAAAATACAATATATGGATTTTATATACAAACAAATATGAAAATTTTAAAAACAAAAAAGAAATTACAATGTTAAAGTAAGTGACCACTGAACAAGAGAGCATGGTCCTGAGCTGGTCAGAAGGGAGCTGAAAAAATGAGAAATCCTATCTATATCTTGTACTTAACTCTCCCCAGTGATGGTGGAGAAGCCAATGGTTGTGTTGGAAAGAGAGTGAAAGGGGCTAGAGAAGTATGAAGTCAAAGTTGGTATTCCTTATTGTATCTGTATGGAGAAGAAAGACTTCTCTAAGGAATCTGATGTCAGTGGTAAGAAGTTGTGTTGCAACCCCAAAGGCACAAGGTTTGAATCCACAAGTTGTTGCTAGGGAGACAGATGGGCAGTCTCCTCTCATGTGATTTTTAGCTTCCAAAAACCAGCACAGGGTCAGCTATGCCTCTGTTCTGACTTGATATAACACACATAAACAACAAGGACAGTAGTAAGGGAGCTTTGGCAGCATAGTACTGAGCCGCACTGCTAACCCAAAGGCCACACCTCCCCGTAAGTTCTCTTAGTTGCTACTCTCCTTGGAGGAGACATGGGCAATCTCTACCTCCCTTGTGATTTAGTCTCAGATACCCAATAGAGGGTCAGTTCAGCAGCAGTTTCAATTCTATAGCGTTGAGAGAGAAGAAATGATGCTCTGAAACTCGTTATTCGAGACTGACCTTAATTTTTCTGAAATTCAAAGTTCTTGAAATTCAACCTCTGTGCTAAAATAAAAATAACAAGCTTCTCTCCTGATCTTCATCCCCTTTTGTCTTTCTTTCCCCCTCTTTTGCATCTAAGACTTACTATCTTCTCTTAGATCATCCTCTTCAACAAGACAAATAGAAAGTTATAATTCCAAATACTATTATGCTCCTTTTATGTAATTTTATGTGCTTGATTTAAAAGAAATGGCTTAAGCTTTGGTATAATTGTCCCCATATAAATCAAATCCACTATATGGGAACTAATTGCCATTAATTTCAAAAGAGCAGGGGAGAAAGACCACCTCTCTTAGAAAGACAAAGGCTAGGGCATCTGAGAAGCATAAAGCAAAACCTAAAAAGGTTTATCTCAACCACACAATACCCACTGAAGCCTCACTTCACCACTTCCTTTAAACCACATCACTTTGAACTTTGAGGAAAAGGGTTGAGGGGCCAGGAGGGGTGGGCAGAGAAGGGAGAAGAGGGACTAGAAAGTAAATTGTCCCTGGTGTCCCTCCCTGCTGGTCTCACCAGCTGTTTGGCTGCTCTTTTATGAACAAGGGCCAAACAGACTGTCAGGAGTCGAGTACTCACTCCTGTCTCCA